GAACCCAGCTGCAGAGCAGGCGAGCAGCAGGCCAGTGAGCATCACCGCCTGAGCTCCACCTTCTGTCAGATCAGCAGCGGCATCAGATTCTCATAGGAGCACAAACCCTATAGTGAACTGTGCATGCAAGGAATCTAGGCTGTGTGCTCCCTATGATAATCTTTTTTTTTTTTTTTTTTTTTTTTTTGAGACACAGTGTCGCCCAGGCTGGAGTGCAATGGTGTGATCTCGGCTCACTGCAACCTCTGCCTCCCGGGTTCAAGTGATTCTCATGCCTCAGCCTCCCGAGTCGCTGGGATTACAGGCGTGTGTCACCACACCGAGTTCATTTTTGTATTTTTGGTAGAGACGGTGTTTTGCCATGTTGGCCAGGCTGGTCTCAAACTCCTGACCTCAAGTGATCCACCCACCTTGGCCTCCCAACGTGCTGGGATTACAGGTGTGAGCCAATGCGCCCGGCCTCCTTACGAGAATCTAATGCCTGATGATCTGAGGTGGAAGTTTCATCATGAAACCACCCTCTCCTCCCCACCGCCCCGGTCTGTGGAAAAACTGTCTTCCACAAAACCAGTCCCTGGTGCCAGAAAGGCTGGGGAGCACTTCATTAGGACTCACACAAGGGAGTCAAGTCTGAGCTGCTGATCTTTGCTGTCATTGCCTGCCATTACAAACCCAAAAAGCAACTTCCTCCCCAGAGGAGAGACATTCTGTGGGCCACCTTCCCACATGCAAACACACAACCTGAGGGGTCCAGGGTGCCCAGCTCAGGAATTGTTGTTCGTTTTTAGAGATGGGGTCTGGTCTTGCTGTTGCCCAGGCTGGAGTGCAGTGGTAGCGCTGTGAGCATGGTTCGCTGCAGCCTTGACTGCCCAGGCTCAAATGATTTTTCCATCTCAGCCTCCCAAAGTGCTGGGATTACAGGCGTGAGCACCGTGCCCAGGCAGGAATTGGGAAACGTCACTGGGAACACCACAGCATTGGTTCGGTCAAGCCCCATGGGCAGTGCTACTGAGCTGCAGGCTCCATTACTACATGGGGTAGAGCTCAGGGCTCCTTGGGCATCAGAAGCCTATGATTTTGTACTAGCCAGACTGGAACAAGGCTGGGCCTGTCCCTATGTTTAGAAACATCTTGTGTGTTGGGAGAGAGGGCCCCACATTCAGGAGCTGCCATTGATGGCTTCAGGTGCAGAATGGCTCTAGACTGGCCATGTCTACTAGTGTGGATTTTTTGTTGTTGTTGTTGTTGTTTTTGAGACAGAGTCTCACTCTGTCGCCCAGGTTGGAGTGCCAGTGGTACAGTCTCAGTTCACTGCAACCTCTACCTCCCAGGTTCAGGCGATGGTCGTGCCTCTGCTTCCCGAGTAGCTGGGACTACAGGCATGCGCCACCATGCCCGGCTAATTTTTGTGTTTTTAGTAGAGATGGGGTTTCACCATGTTGGCAAGGCTGGTCTCGAACTCCTGACCTGAAGTGATCTGCCCGCCTCAGCCTCCCAAAGTGTCGGGATTACAAGCCTGAGCCACTGCGCCAGCTACTCTTACAGTGGGTCAGAATAGCAGCTGCAGACGCTGCTGGACTCAGGAGGACCAGGTGATGGTCTGGCCAAGCAGCGGTGCTGGGTCTGGAGGCCAGAGGGAGGATTACACCCTCCCCACCCCTCAACCTCCTGGGGTCTAAGGTGTTCTCTCCCCAGGTGCTGGGTTGTTGCTCTCCCTCCAAGGACATGAAATCAGTCTGAATCCCACCCCAGGAAGTACCGCTTCACCTCTTCTTTCACCATCTACTCACACCCAGACTTGTTTTTGGAAGTCAGATGTGAATGGAACATGGGCATTTTTACAAACTGAGAGACTTACGCTTTCCCTCACGTTGTCTGATGTGGGACACTGTAGGGAGACTTGGCAAACAGGACACTCGACCAAGTGGCCGCTGTCTTCGGGACCTAGGAAGAGTGAATCCAAGAGAGTCCCAAGGGCAGAACATGAACTAACGCCAAGCCCCATAGGTCCCGTTCCGGTGGGCCTGCCCTCTGGAGGCTGCACCCATCAGGCAGGCCTGCGCTTAACACTGGGGAAAGAAAGAGGCACACATACCCAGGAATGATTATTTATTTATTGATTGATTTATGATGGAGTCTTGCTTTGTCGCCCAGGCTGGAGTGCAGTGGCACGATCTCAGCTCACTGCGAGTTCCACCTCCCAGGTTCATGCCATTCTCCCGCCTCAGCCTCCTGAGTAGCTGGGACTATAGGCATCCGCCACCACACCTGGCTAATTTTGTTTGTGTATTTTTAGTAGAGACGGGGTTCACCGTGTTAACCAGGATGGTCTTGATCTCCTGACCTCATGATCCGCCCACCTCGGCCTCCCAAAGTGCTGGGACTACAGGCGCGAGCTACTGCACCCGGCCTGTTTATTTTTTTGAGAAAGAGTCTCACTCTGTCACCCAGGCTGGAGTGCAGTGGTGCAATCATGTCTCACCGCAGCCTCGATCTCCTGGGCTCAAGTGATCCTCCCACCTCAGCCTCCTGAGTAACTGGAGTGCAGCCATGCATCACCATGCCTGGCTAATTTTTTTTTGTAGAGTTGGGGTTTTGCCATGTTGCCCAGGCTGGCCTCGAACTTCTGGATTCAAGTGATATACCTGCCTCAGCCTCCCCAAGTGCTGGGATTACAGGCATGAGCCACTGCACCGGGCCCCAAATGTTTATGAGTTTGTATAACCCCCAAGCCCTTTGTCCTGATCTTTACCCAGGAGATGGCCTAGGGGAACCCTTTCTGGGGACAGCCACACTGTCTGCCTTTCTCAAGTGTGTGGACCAGGAAAAAGGCGAGTGAGAAGCTCCGAGTTGATTTATATTTTCGGTGAGATGATTTTTTTCAGGCTGGTCAAGTGAAGCAGCAGAAGGAACAAAGAACTCTGTTAACTGGTTGTGATCAATTACTCGTCACACCACTGCACTCAGACAAGCAACGAGTTGATTTTTTATAAAGCCCATTTCACCTCTCAACGGTGCCAGCAGCCCAACGGGGACAGGGATGTGAAGTGGCCACTGAATGCCTTGGCCACTGACCCACTGTTGGGCAGCCTTTGCAACAAAAAGGGGGCCTTTGTCAGGCCATAAAAGGCCCCAAGAGTTGAACACATGACACAGCTGAGCTTCAAGGGCCACAGCGGCAGCAGCTTGAAGAGTGTCTGCTGCGGTGAGGCCCACCAGTCGCCCTGGAAAGAGTCCAGAGGCCCGGATGGAGTCGAGCTGCCAGGAGCAGTGGGGCCAGGGCCTCCCTTGCCGCAAGAAGAAAGGGGCAGGTTTAGGCAGGAGAAACAGGTCACAGAGCAGCAGCTTCTGCACTAGAAACATATAAAGGCTCATTGTACTAGAAACCTACAGAAGCTCAACTGGGCTTCAGAGAATTCCCTTCATCTAACTTCCTATTATGGCGGAATTAAGTGATTCTCAAGTTTTTTTTGTTTTGAAACAGAGTCTTGCTCTATCACCTAGGCTGCCGTGCAATGGCGCAATCTTGGCTCACTGCAACCTCCGCCTCCAGGGTTCAAGCAATTCTCCTGCCTCAGCCTCCCAAGTAGCTGGGATTACAGGCGCCTGCCACCACACCTGGTTCTTTTTTTGTATTTTTAGTAGAGAGGGGGTTTCACCATGTTGGCCAGGCTGGTCTGGAACTCCTGACCTCAGTCTCCCAAAGTGCTGGGATTACAGGTGTGAGCCACCACACCCAGCCAATTCTCAAGGTTTTGAAAAGTTCCAAAGGCACTTTTTTTTTTTAAACATGACCAAGATAGGAGACAGCCTATATTGGAGTTGGTGGAGAAAGGCTCCTGCCAGGCAGAGGCGCATGTGCGGACTTTGCAGGCTTGCAGGGGTTAGGGGCCGCACCCACAGTGCTGCAGGTGGAGAGGCTCCTAACTCCCAGGACCTCTTTCCCTGGGCCACAGGCTCACCAGGACCCCTGGTGTCTGATCTGTCTGGGATGTGTTAAGTAGATTCCACTTGTTCACCAACCCCAAGCCAGCTGCAATGACCACTGGAGAGCGGGCTGAGGCCTGCGGGGCTTAGCTGGGAGGACACACCACGATCCCTTTGCAGCATCTGCTGTAGGTGAGGGAGGTGGGGCAGGATCAGATCAGCTATTTGCTCAATTTGCTTCTGGAAGAGATTTTTAAGCCCTAAGGGATTTCTAGGAAGGGCCAAGGGATGAGTTCTTTGGTTCCAAGCAGTCGAAAGCACTATCTGGCCTGTGGCACTGCACCCGGCCACTCCTCCTGTGTCTCCAAGGCCAGCAGAGTCCAGCCTGACCTCATGGGGTGCCCAGATGCCTGTACCCCAGGACCTCCTTGTTGGAATGGAGGAGGGAGAAAAGGGGCTTCTAGAGTCTAGTGTTGGGAAAGGAACACCCACAGGTGGCAGCAGGATTGGGCCTGGAGGCCAAATTCAGCCGGGCAGTGCGCTCTGTCCCCGTTCCCACACAGGGGCATGTGGGAGACTTGACAGAAAAGCCCAGTGCAGGCAGTGCAAGGCCTGATCTAGAGGGCCCTCCTACCACCCTCCAGGATGCAGAGAGCACAGAACCATGAGAGGAGAAGCGTCATGGATGCCACAAGGACTTGGTTAAGCCCCTCCAACCCGGGAAGGTCTTGGTCCTCGAGGCCTGGACAGCATGCACCCTTCCTGCACCCTTGAGGGCAGTGCTTCAAGGTGTGGGCTACAGTCCACAGTGGAGCATCAAGATCAGTGCAGAGGGTTGTAGCCAGAAGTTTTACAAAGTGAAATAGAGTAAGAAAATATCAGCGTTCACAGGTGGTGAGGCTAAGTGTGGTTTGGTGAAAGTTCACGGGCACTCAATAATATTTATTTCATCTTGTGGATTCATTCAAAAAGATCTGAAAGATGCTATTTTAAGGCGTATGTTTCTAGAATGGGACACCTCAGATAATGTCTTGTAATCATTTTGGTAGGGCTGAAATTGGGACTCCCATAAAGAAAGTACATGCTGAAATTTATTTTAAAGGGGAAGATCCCCTTTTATTAAACTTGTACATTTTACTTTCCTTCTTTCAGAATGCTAATAAAAAACATTCGTTTATACTTAAAAAACCCATAAATCAGACAAACAAAAGAAATGGTTCTAACATCACTTTTGTGATGAGAAAACAGGCAATGGAATTCAATATAAGCAAAGAAAACTCTACCTGGAGGGAAGAAATCTATCAGCGAGGAAACAACTCGGGGCTGCTGCCAGACCACCGGCCATGCGAGGACGAGCCTCCTAGGGGATTTCCAAAGCAAACCCACCCCTGCCAGACCAGGAAGCAGCCGTCCTACCTCCCAGAGAAACAGACCTCAGTCCTAATGATCGCACAAATCCAAGTCAATCGCTCTATTTAAAAAAAGCACGCACATAGTCTCCCCTTCCTTCCCCAGTCCTCTTGGTGACAGGGCGGTCACAGGACATATGTGTTCTTCACCAGCTGCTCCTTGTCATCTCCGGAGCTCCAGACAGTGCGCAGGGCACGCTCCTGGTTCCTCCGCGCCACCCGGATCAGGTAGACCATGGAGGCTCCCAGGAAGAGGATCAACACCATCACGAACAGCCCCGCCAGAACCACCACTGAGGACAAGAGAGGGGCCTCAGGATGGGCCAGGCAAGGGGAGCTGCAGCCAGAGTGGGGCTCACCAAGGGCCTGGGGAATCCAGGTGGGCTCAGGCTGAGGACCAAATGCCCCTCCCCAACCCAGAGAGGGTACAGAACTGCAGCTGGAGAGGACACAGCCTGCCAGAGATGCCACCAAGGAGATTCCCCCAAAAAAGGAGGTGCCATGCTATATGTGTGCCAGCAGAGTGGCCGTCTGTGTTCCTTCTTTTTGAACTAAAAGCCCAACTCTTGGGTGTTGCGGAAAGTCAGGGACCCCAAACGGAGGGACCCGGCTGAAGCCATGGCAGAAGAACATAAATTGTGAAGATTTTATGGACATTTATTAGTTCCCCAAATTAATACTTTTATAATTTCTTTTGCCTGTCTTTACTGCAATCTCTGAACATAAATTGTGAAAATTTCATGGACACTTATCACTTCCCCAATCAATACCCTTGTGATTTCCTATGCCTGTCTTTAATCTCTTAACGCCGTCATCTTCGTAAGCTGAGGAAGATGTATGTTGCCTCAGGACCCTGTGATGATTGCGTTAACTGCACAAATTGTTTGTAGAGCATGTGTGTTTGAACAATACGAAATGTGGGCACCTTGAAAAAAGAACAGGATGACAGCAATGTTCTGGGAACAAGAGAGAACCTTAAACTCTGACTGCCAGTGAGCCAGGCAGAATAGAGCCACATTTCTCTTCTTTCAAAAGCAAATAGGAGAAATACGGCTGAATTCTTTTTCTCAGCAAGGAACATCCCTGAGAAAGAGAATGCGCCCGAGGGTAGGCCTCTGAACGGCCCCCCTGGGGGCAGCTGTCTTTCACAGCCAAGGGATGAAATAAACCCTGGTCTCCTGTAGTGCTCCCAGGCTTATTAGGACGAGGAAATTCCTGCCTAATAAATTTTGGTCAGACAGGTTGTCTGCTCTCAAACTCTGTCTCCTGATAAAATGTTACCAATGACAATGTGTGTGGAAACTTCAGGAGCAATTTTAATTTCGCCTCATCCTGTGGTCCTGTGATCTTGCCCTGCTTCCATTTGCTTTGTGATATTTTACTACCTTGTGAAGCATGTGATCTCTGTGACCCATACCCTATTCATACACTGCCTCCCCTTTTGAAAATCGCTAATAGCCGGGCATGGTGGCTCACGCCTGTAATCCCAGCACTTTGGGAGGCCGAGGCAGGTGGATCACAAGGTCAGGAGATCGAGACCATCCAGGCTAAAACGGTGAAACCCCATCTCTACTAAAAATACAAAAAATTAGCTGGGCGTGGTGGCGGGCGCCTGTAGTCCCAGCTACTCGGGAGGCTGAGGCAGGAGAATGGCGTGAACCCAGGAGGCGGAGCTTGCAGTGAGCCGAGATCGCGCCACTGCACTCCAGTCTGGGAGACACAGCGAGACTCTGTCTCAAAAAAAAAAAAAAAAAAAAAGAAAATCACTAATGAAAACTTGCTAGTTTTATGGCTCCGGGGCATCACGGAACCTGCCAACATGTGATGTCTCCCCCGGACACCTAGCTTTAAAATCTCTCTTTTGTACTCTTTCCCTTTATTTCTCAGACCAGCTGACACTCAGGGAAATAGAAAAGAACCCAAGTTGAATATCAGGGGTGGGGTTTCCCCCCATACGTGGGGCAACCTGCACAGGAGCCCCAGACCAAGAGATGCACAAGGGTGTAAAAAACATTTAGCACGGGTGTGTACACATGAAACCTTAGGGGCTTTGTGCACACACACGCTGACTGGCAACAGAGAAAGACGGAGCCCTGCAGGGGCTGGGAGGGCTGAGAGCTGCTGCGGGATGAAGTCAGGGTGGAAGTGAGGGTGTTCTCAAAGCTGTGCCAGCAAATTTAATAGTGTCTGCCCCACTGCAGTCCCACTGGTCAGCTCAGATGCTTTTCTTCAGGAGGGGCTCTGGCTAAGGAGTGTGACCTCTTGTGGCAGCCTCCCCCATGTGGCTATGGAGCCGCAGAGTTGGCCTTTTTGGGGCCACCCTCTAGACCCAGACTGCTTGCTTCCCAGTCCCATGCCTGGCAAACCAGGCTTCACTGCTAGAACAGGACAGACTCCCAGGCCAAGTCCCAGCTCCTTCACAGGGAAACAGGCGGAGAAAGAGGCCAGACTGGCATGGCAGGTCTTTTGTGCCAACACTATCATCTGCAACTCAGGCTCAGAAACACAGGCCAGAGGGCTGGCCTCCTGCTCAGGCCAGACTGTGTTGGGAAACACCCTGGCCTGTGGCCCTCCATCCTGCACCCGTGACCAACTCTTATGCCCCACACAACAGTGCTCCCTCCACACCCCAGGCCAGTCTCAGGCCTGTGTGCAGCAGTCCTCAAATGCCCAACAGGAAGACCTCATCCCCAGTCACCCATGCCACCTGGGCAGGGCCTGCCTCGTGACTGACTCACTCCAGCCCCAACTATGTACACTGAATGGTGAGACAAACCACCACCTCGCCATTCTCACGCAGAAATACGACTTTCTGCCAAGATGATGTTCACAATGAAGGATAATGTAAACCACAACTGGGCGGGGCTGAGCTCAGTCAAGGAAGGGAGGAGGCAGGCTGATGGCAAGAGGAGGGTAAGGGGCCACTTACCCTTTGAGCCAAGGGGCAGGGAAGGATTCTCCTGCTGGCCTGAAAGAGAACACACGGTCTGAGGTCAGCTCACAGCTCCCATTCCACAGAGCGGCCATAGGGGATCCCCTCAGCCAGGGCCTCCATGGGGAGCTCTTTCTGAGGGACTTTATTCCAGCTCTTCTGGAGCTTAGAGGCCTTGCCGCCCTGGTGGGCCCAAGAACAGCATTTCCAAGGCCTTCATATTTTAGGGATGGGGAGACGGCCCAGGGTCCTCAAGGGCAGGGCTTCCTGGGCTGAGGGGCCGCAGACTCACGGAAGCAGCGGAGCATGCAGGCCTCCTCAGAGCGGTAGCTGTTCTTATTGCCCCGGCAGCCTCCATAGATGAAGTTATTGCAGGAATTCCTCTCCACGTCAAAGTACCAGCGTGGGAAGGACGCACGGCAAGGTCCAGTGACTGCCTTGGCGGCACAGTATTCTGGGAGCAAGACAGCCCAAGGAACACAAATTAGTAGGGCCCGCAAGGAGGGGAAGCAAGCCAGAAAGTGCCTGAGGAGGCTCGCAGCTCCAGCTGACGGAGAAACATCTCTCTGGTAAAGAAGCCTGTAAATTACACCCAAGGCCAGCGCAGCGGCTCTGACGCGCTGCCCCACAGGTCCAGATGGCGGCTTCAGAGCTTTGAAGACTGCTCTCTGCCAGGTCCTGTCCTAGGCCTTTTACGTGCAGTGGCTGCGTCTCTATGAGACCTGTCTGGGGCCCTTCACTTTATGCGTGGGAATACTGAGGCAGGGTGGCAGCCACGGAGGCGGGGCGGCAGCCACTTGCCCACAGCCAAGCCGCTAGCGAGAGGGGCAGGGACAATGGACATCCCAGAGCCACGCACCAGGCTGTGCCTCTAAAGTGCATCTCCGCAGGCTCGGCCTCCTTCCTACTGGTGGGGGCATCCATGTGGGGCCTGTTACCTTGACTCCAACCCCAGGGGGCTGCCACCACCTGCGAGGGGAGCCCTGTGCTACAACTTCCTCAGTGGAAATCCGCAAGTGTCTCTCAATACCCAACTAAGAATACATGTTTTGCCCCACATGTAAGTTTCTTCGGAGTTTTTTTGTTTTTTGAGACGGAGTCTCACTCTATCACCCAGGCTGAAGTGCAGTGGCGCAATCTTAGTTCCTTGCAACCTCCACCTCCCAGGTTCAGCAATTCTCCTGCTTCAGCCTCCCGAGTAGCTAGGACTACAGGTGTGTGCCACTACGCCCAGCTAATTTTTTGTATTTTTAGTAGAGACAGGATTTCACTGTGTTAGGATGGTCTTGATATCCTGACCTCGTGATCCGCCCACCTCAGCCTCCCAAAGTGCTGGGATTACAAGCGTGAGCCACCGAGCCCGGCCTCTTTGGAGTTTTACCTTCATAGTTGAACATATCGCTGGAGTGGTCATCAGAATCCTGCCTTCTAGGAACTGAAACACAAACATCTGTGTTAGGGAGGCTGGGCCGGACACAGGACATGGGCCTAGCTAGGGCTGGGTCTGGAAGGGCCCACTGAGGAGTGTGGACACCACACCTTTAAAGAGGGATGTGGAGCCCCTTCCATGGCTGGCTCTGCCGCGTCACCCCAGCCCTAATTGGCTCTACGTACACACTGAGAGTGCTGGATGAGGCGGCCCTGCCGCCACCTCAGGGTTCCTATAGAAACCAAGCCCGCCATAGCTCCTAATGTGATAAGGAACACAGTCTTGTTCACACTTTCTAATACAGTGAGGGGCACATGTTCTGCTCCACCAGGATGGAAATCAGAGCAGGCGTGCGGCGGGGCTAGCAGAGGATAAACGGAGCCAGGCAGAGCAACGCCAGGACAGGCATGGGATTCCTGGCCTAGCAAAGCTGGAAAGTGACCACCCCAACGCCCCAGCATTCTGTTAGCCAGCCGGCCCAACAGCTGCTGAGCTACAGAGCACTCAGTGGGTTGCAGCTGACGGGGGTGTCCCATCCTCCAGCAGGAGTGCGATGCAGTCCCCCCTCCATGGCCGCCTCCCAGAGCCCACGGCCTGAGGCCTGACCCGAGGGTGCATTTGCTACCTGGTAGTGCATCGGGACCACTCACCCCAAGCGCCCGATGCAGAGTCCTTAAACCATAAAGGAGGAATGGGGCAGCGGCCGCCAGTACTACAAAGCAAGCTAACACACATCTTGAGATCATGCACTGCAGTGGCGGGGAGGCAGGGGTGGCAGAGGACAGAGGATGTCCACAAGGAAGGGGACAGCGATGGCAACAGGGAACAAAGGAAGCAGAGGAGGCAGAACAGGCAAACAGAAGGGTGGGTGGGGAGTGGGGCCAGCAGAGCAGCTGGAGGCCCGCACAGCAGGGAGGGGCCTGAGCCTCGTGGGCAGCAGCAACCTCCATCCCCTGTCCTCCAGGAGGCGGCGGGGGCCGGCCAGGGAGTGCTGCAGGATGCCTGGCCCCTGTGTCCGCTGGACAGTGTAAACTCCCCCATGTAAGGACGCCGGAGCCAGAAGCCGGCAGCCCAAGCAGAGCCCCCGGTTGCCAATTTTGAGTAAACAGAACCATGAGAGGGAAGCCTGTGACAGTTCCCAAATGACAAGTGTCCTTTCACAATGACCCATCCGGTGGCCTCACTCTATCACGGGTCTCTTTAAGAACCTACCACTTGGGACAGAGGAATCTGCTGCATTCCTGCTGGTGGCCAGGTCACCTGTGGCATTCTCTGCAAGGAGACAAACAGCATAGTGAGACAGTGCTTCTGAGACTGCCGGGGACAAAGAATGAGCTGGCCCTGTGTGCCTCTCACCACAGCATCCATTTCTCCTTTACATAGGACATTCAATGTACGTGCCAGACCACACTCGGAAATGAGGAAGCAAGACTGCCTCCTGAAGAGGAAACTTAAGATCAACTTGCAGGGAATCAGAGCAAAGATGTACACAGTGACCTCAAAAAGACAGTGACTTGGCCGGGTGTGGGGGCTCATGCCTGTAATTCCATTACTTTGGGAGGCCAAGGCAGGTGGATTACCTGAGGTCAGAAGTTCGAGATCAGCCTGGCCAACATGGTGAAACTTATTAAAAATACAAAAGTTAGGGCCGGGTGCAGTGGCTCACGCCTGTAATCCCAGCACTTTGGGAGTGAGGCGGGTGGATCACGAGGTCAGGGATTGAGAACATCCTGGCCAACACTGCGAAACCCCGTCTCTACTGAAAATACAAAAAATTAGCCGGGTGTGGTGGCGCACGCCTGTAGTCCCAGCTACTCAGGAGGTTGAGGCAGGATAATTGCTTGAACCCGGGAAGTGGAGGTTGCAGTGAGCAGAGATTGCACCACTGCACTCCAGCCTGGACAACAGAGTGAGACTCCGTCTCAAAAAACAAACAAACAACCCAAAAAGTTAGCCAAGCATGATGGCAGATGCCTGTAATCCCAGCTACTTGGGCGGCTGAGGCAGGAGAATTGCTTGAACCCGGGAGGCAGAGGTTGTGGTGAGCCGAGATCGCACTATTGACCACTGCACTCTAGTCTGGGCAACAAGAGCAAAACTCCATCTCAAACAAAGAAACAAATAAAACACAGTGACTGCCAGGGCCAAATAATCTGCTTAACTGTATCAAATCATCTAACTAATTTAACTGTAATCCCAGTGCTTTGGAAGGCTGAAGGGTGGGGGGCATCACTTGAGGCCAGGAGTTTGAGACCAACTTGGGCAACATAAAAAGACCTCATCTGTTTGTGAGGGGGAGCGGGAACAAAACACTTTTTTTAAGGGTTAACATGATGAATTTTACACAGCGTTTATCTCCTACACTTTGTCCAAGATGGAGGGAACCCTGGCCTAGCCTGATGCTATTAAACGGTCACCTTGCAAACCAGCTCCCCTCATTCTGCCTCTCTCCATCAAGCAGTCTTCTGACAACTGGACTAGAGACTTGCCTATGCGGACTACAGACACGGGCCCGGGGACATGAGTGCCTGCTCCCCAGGGCGGTCCCAGTTCTCATGATGAATTAATACACTGGCATTCTCATTCTCACTTGCCTTCCCACAGAGCCTGCCTGGGAGAGAATATGCTGGCAAAGGACCCCAGGCACTAGCAACCCTGGCAGTGTTTAGCTCTTTACAGACTCACATGGGAGCGCCTCAAGAGACAGTCAGATGCCAATATGTGCTTTCTGGACCTGTGAGACAGGGCCAAACTCTAGGGAGACAGCTAACCTGCCTGCTCCCAGGAACACACAGCCACCCACGTCCCCTGGCTATGCTCACTGTCCACTGCCTGAGTTCTCAACACTTCAACTTCCTTCCTGAGGAGATAAGGAACAGCCAGGATGGACACATACATTTGTTAAAGGCAACTCTTGACTGGGACAGCTCAGAAAAGGTAGCAAAAAATATTTCTCCCAAGTCCTCCTTCATAATGAATCATAGTTGATGATACAAATACAGTAACTGGGTCAATGGTGGCTCACAGATACAACGCTAAGTCATCAAAAAAACATGTTAGGGAGAGTGCCACTGAAAATATTTTTATTTATTTTTTACTTAAAGGCCAGTGTAATTGTTTGTTTTTTCAGTTAAAGTGAAATGTTAGCTGGGCTCAGTAGCTCACACCTATAATCCTAGCACTTTGGGAAGCGGGCAGATTGCTTGAGCTCAGGAGTTTGAGACCAGCCTGGGTAACATAGTGAAACCCCATCTTTACAAAATACACAAAAAGGCCGGGCGCGGTGGCTCAAGCCTGTAACCCCAGCACTTTGGGAGGCCGAGACAGGCGGATCACGAGGTCACAAGATCAAGACCATCCTGGCTACCCCGGTGAAACCCCGTCTCTACTAAAAAATATAAAAAACTAGCTGGGCGAGGTGGCGGGCGCCTGTAGTCCCAGCTACTCGGGAGGCTGAGGCAGGAGAATGGTGTGAACCTGGGAGGCGGAGCTTGCAGTGAGCTGAGATCCGGCCACTGCACTCCAGCCTGGGCGACAGAGCGAGACTCCGTCTCAAAATAAATAAATAAATAAATAAATAAACAAAATGCACAAAAATTAGCCAGGTGTGGGGGTGTGCGCCTGTAGTCCCAGCTACTTGAGAGGCTGAGGCACGAGAATCACTTGAACCCAGGAGGCAGAGGTTGCAGCGAGCCAAGATCATACCACTGCACTCCAGCCCGGTGGGCGACTAAGCAAGAAAAAAAGAAAAAAGTGAAAATCTTTAACATAGGATTTGGATGGCCAAACCCTTGGGTCTCTGAACACTTGGGATGGAGCAGCCCCAAAGGGCCAACGTCTCATCACCATCGGCTCTCAGGAAGTCCTTGTCACTCAGCTGAGAGCCAGGGCACGCTGCTGGGGGGTTTAGGTTTTAATTTAAACTGTGAGGTTGTCAGGGTCAAAATTACCTTGATTCCACAGAACCCCTGGCAGGTGAGGGCCACAAAGAGGATAGATTCCAGGACGTATGTTTGTTTTAACTTGATCCATAACTTGGCTGGGTGAGCTATTCAAGTCATTTGTCCCACAATTAAAATAACCCAAATAGCGGCCAGGCGCGGTGGCTCACACCTGTAATCCCAGAACTTTGGGAGGCTAAGGCAGGCAGATCACCTGAGGCCAGGAGTTCGAGACCAGCTTGGCCAACATGGCGAAATCCCATCTCTACTAAAACTACGAAAATTAGCCAGGCATGGTGGTGGGCACCTGGAATCCCAGCTGCTCAGGAGGCTGAGGCTGCAGTGAGCTGAGATTGCTCCACTGCACTCCAGCTTGGGCAATAGAGCAAGATTCTGTCTCAAAATAAAATAAAATAACTCAAATACCCAGGGAACAAGAGGGGCAGCCCTGTTGGAGTGGATCAAAAAGCCTCTGCTCAAGAAGGCAAGGCTACTTCCTCATCGGTCTGCTCTGAAACTTGCACTTAGTAAAGAGGGAGAAAGGAAGCTGGGTCATGATGGCTCCAGCTCTGCCCTGTTGTTTTGCTGCCTTTCTGGGAAGGGGAGGAGTGAGGGTCTGCTGTGAAACCACTGTATGGCCACAGGGCATTCATACGGTGCCTATTTCTTCTGCTTTTTAAAACATCGCCCAGATTCCACTGTCAAGAACTAATAAAGAGAGGAAAGTATCCACATTCCAGTTAATAAATTGTCTCTAAATAGCAAAATCTGGCTGGGCACAGTGGCTCACACCTGTAATCCCAGCACTTTAGAAGGCCCAGGTGGAAGAATTGCTTGAGGCCAAGAGTTTGAGACCAGCCTGGGTAACATAGGGAGACCCATGTCTATAAAAAATTTCAAAATGAGCAAGGTGTGGTGGCGTGTGCCTGTAGTCCCAACTATTCAGGAGGCTGAGGTGGGAGGATCTGCTTGAGCCCAGGAAGTGGAGGCTGCAGTGAGACCCTGTTTAAAAAAAAAGCAGGGGCCAGGCATGGTGGCTCACGCCTATAATCCCAGCACTTTGTGGGGCCGAGGTGGGTGGATCACGAGGTCAGGAGATCGAGATCATCCTGGCTAACATGGTGAAACCATGTCTCTATTAAAAACACAAAAAATTAGTTGGGCGTGGTGGTGGGTGCCTGTAGTCCCAACTACTTGGGAGGCTGAGGCAGGAGAATGGCATGAACCCAGGAGGTGGAGCTTGCAGTGAGCCGGGATTGCACCACTGCACTCCAGCCTGGGCGACAGAGCAAGACTCCATCTCAAAACAGGAAAAAAAAAAAAAAAAAAAAAAAAAGCTCTAACTACTACTGTCTTACCTGTAACAGCGGCACATTTCTTGAGGCACTCCTCCTTGCTCATGTAATTATTGCTGTTTCCATCACAGCCCCCATACACAAACAGCTGGCAGGATCCATCAGTGACATTGTACCACCACCTAGGCATGGAGGCCCGGCATCTGCCCACCACCTTCGACACTAGACAAAAGTCTGAAATGCAAAGCACAATCCCGTTAGCTTGGCAGGGCAATCCCGGCAATGAAGGACACACACAGACCTGTATACAGATCCCCCAGGGGAACCAGAGCCTTGAGTTCCAGCAGTTCCTTTGTGAGCTGTTTCCCAAGCCCAGAACGCCAACAGGCCCACTCAGTGCTTCCTTCCTTGTATAAACACGTCGCCCAACAATAAAGACACCAACCCACCCACTGAACTGTATTTCAGTTGTATGTTTTGTCCCGTCCCCGTTATTGAAGACATGCACATCCAGTGTAGAAACATGACTTTATTTATTTATTTATTTTGGAGACAGAGTCTCACTCCATCGCCCAGGCTGGAGAGCAGGGACTTGATCTCAGCTCACTGCAACCTCCGCCTCCCAGGTTCAAATGATTCTTTTACCTCACCCTCCCGAGTAACTGGAATTACAGGCGTGCGCCACCATGCGGGGCTTTTGTTTTTTTTGTACTTTCAGTACAGATGGGGTTTCACCATGTTGCCCAGGCTGGTCTTCAACTCCTGAGCTCAGGTAATCCACCTGCTTCGCTTCCCAAAGTGCTGGGATCACAAGCACAAGCCACCACGCCCAACGGAAACATGACTTAAAAACAAAACAAAACAAAACAAAAAAACCCTGACTCCAAGACCCTTCTGGATACTGCCCCATCCCACAGGGCCAAGGGGAGCTTAGCGCTGAAAGGTCAGAGCCGGAGAAGTGAGCTTGGGAAGGAGAGGCGCTATCAGCGCCCTCGGTAGTCCTCACATGCAATTTTCCTGACCTTTCCTGTCCACTCTCTGCCCAGGCAGGCCACAGAATACTCAAATTACTGCAAGAGCCTCAGAAGGTAGCTTCTTTTTTTTTTTTTTTTTTTGAGATGGAGTCTCGCTTTGTCGTCCGCGGTGGCTTGCAGTGGGACGACCTCGTATCACTGCAAGCTACGCCTCCCGGGTTCACGCCATTCTCCCGCCTCAGCCTCCAGAGTAGCTGGAACTACAGGCGCCTGCCACCATGCCCGGCTAATTTTTTGTATTTTTAGTAGAGACAGGGTTTCACTGTGTTGGCCAGGGTGGTCTCGATCCCCTGACCTTGTGATCCGCCTGCCTCAGCCTCCCAAAGTGCTGGGATTACAGGCGTGAGCCACCGCGCCCAGCTAGAAGGAAGCTTCTTAACTCTAGTGCCTACAGCCCAGCCCACGGCTCCAAAGATAACACAGGTCCTACCCCTGCGCCAGGGCTTGTTATAGCTCCTATCTGGACACACCAAGATGGGCCTGGGTTCCAAGGCACCCTCAAATCTGGCCCTACTTTAGTAAAAGGGAAACAAAAGCCAATATTATGAAATTTCAGCCAGAAACATTTCTTGCAAAAGGTTGGTAGGTCTCTTGAAAGGGAGACAGAAAATTGCTAGAAGCATCACCTGCACCAAAATAAGCCTTTCCACCAGAAGGACTGAAAGCAACCTGAAAAGAGACAGCCTGGCTGTGTGGCTCCGCGTCTGCTCCTGTACCACATTATCACCTCTCCCTAACCCTAGCCTTTACCCAGCTCTGCCTGTTCAGCACAAGGGCATTCCAGCTTGCACGGGGCCTGGCACAGGGTGCTTGATAAACATGTCTGCAATAAAAGCATCCCACAGCCAAACGCTTGCTTAGATGTTGTCATTGACTCCTCGCTACTTGTTTTCACGTTTGTTAGGTTTATTTCACCCACTAGGGATATATCTTCTGTTATGTCTCCCCAAATATGTCACAGTGATGGGCATGAAACCAGATGTTCCACAGAACACTAATCAACGGATAAAAAAGGTTGCTACTGTGCAAAACAAACACACACATACGTGCCTCCAAGGAAATCCCACCCACACAATAAATCACAGGTAAGTAGCACAGTAGAAAAAGCATCTTCTGAAGCACGAAATTCCCTATCATTTGAAAAAAGCTAACCCTGAAAAGTCACCCATTAGAATGTACCTTATCTAGACACTTCATATGAATGGAAGTGTACAGTATGTCCATAAAAGGCAAATCAATAGACACGGGAAGTAGATGAGTGGTTGCTTGGTACTGGGGGTGGGACTGGGGAGTGATGGGTAAAGGGATCTTTAGGGGATGATGAAAATGTTCTAAAATTGGATTGTGGCAATAGCTGCACAGCTCTGTAGAAGGTGCTAAAAATCCTTGGATGATAATACTTAAAACGAGTGATTTTAGGATACACAATTTTGTTTTTTTTTTTTTTTTTTTTTGAGACGGAGTCTCGCTCTGTCGCCCAGCCTGGAGTGCAGTGGCCGGATCTCAGCTCACTGCAAGCTCCGCCTCCCGGGTTCACGCCATTCTCCAGCCTCAGCCTCCCGAGTAGCTGGGACTACAGGCGCCCGCCACCTCGCCCGGCTAGTTTTTTTTGTATTTCTTAATAGAGACGGGGTTTCACCATGTTAGCCAGGATAGTCTCGATCTCCTGACCTCATGATCCGCCCGTCTCGGCCTCCCAAAGTGCTGGGATTACAGGCTTGAGCCACCGCGCCCGGCCCACAATTTTTTTTTTTTGAGACTGAGTTTCACTCTTGTTGCCCAGGCTGGAGTACAATGGCATGACCTCAGTTCACTGCAACCTCCACCTCCCGGGTTCAAGCTATTCTCCTGCCTCAGCCTCCCAAGTAGCTGGAATTACAGGCATGCGCCACACCTGGCTAATTTTGTATTTGTAGTAGAGACGGGGTTTCACCATGTTGGCCAGGCTGGTCTCGAACTCCTGACCTCAGGTGATCCGCCCATCTTGGCTCCCCAAAGTGCTGGGATTACAGGTGTGAGCCACCACACCCGGCCTATATAAGTGTTTTTGAGATAGGGTCTTCCTCTGTCACCTAAGCTGGAGTGCAGCTGCAGGACCATGGCTCACTGAAGCCTCGCCTCCTAGGCTCAAGTGATCCTCCCACCTCAGCCTCCTGAGTAGCTGGGACTACAAGCAGAAAAAAAAAAATTTTTTTTTTTTAAATAGGGGCACCTTTTGTCCATTACACATCAACCAGAACCAGCTGGCTGTACACCTGGAATAGGTACAACATGCCAAAGGTCACAAAACACATAATCAACAACGTCCAGAGAAAACAGCAGGAGGAGGTCCTCTGGTGTGTGACTCCACCCAGCCCAACGCTGGGAGCAACACTGCCACCAAGAAGATGAGATGAAAGGGACCCACGTGGGACCCAGTTACAATCCAAAGCTGAAAACAGCATCAAGGCAGGAGCGCCCAACGGCTACAGAGGTGCCAGCAGCCTCTCCGCTGCCCTGCCACGCTGAGCCCTGGCGGCCAGCCACTCTGGCTGCTTTGTGTCCTAGCTTCCTGAGTAGTGTGAGACACAGTCTTTTTCCACAATAAACCTGAGGGGAATATTGTACACCTTAAATGGGTGAATCACATGACATGTGAATTACATCTCAAAAAAAAACAATAACCTGAGGGAGGGCCCACAACACCGGGTGCCCAGGCAGGAACCAGGAACCACCCGACACCACACCTGAGAATGAAGCAGGGTGACCCACAGTATCATGGCAGGAATTCGTTAACTTCGTAAGCAAGGGTGCCAGTTACACGTGGCATGTGCAGACGCCCGAGGGTGTGTAGAAGGAGAAAAAATGCCTATCGAGGGACGGATGGAAGCTACCTTGGTGAATTCAACCCTGCCCGCAACTTGGCCATCATCTTTATAGGCGCAGACATGCACTCTTGCCAGTGCCCTAGTGCTTAGGAGACACAGGAGCGCTGGCCACAGCTAACAGCGCACGGGATGATACATGAGACCTTAGCAGCAGGTGATGAATTTACAGTGAGAACATCACTGTATTCCGTCAAGCAGGTTGCGTGTTGATGTGAATCAGCAAAACACCTTGGAAAGCAAGCGTCAATCGAACACGATGCTTGGAGTCAGAATAAAGTTAGTTTACTGTATGATTCCTAGGAACATTCTTGCCATCGGAATCTGTCAGGCAGACCAAATGCTCACATTAGCGGCTCAGGACAGCTCTTCCAGAGCACGGTCACAAGCTGTCCCTGAGATGCTTCCTTTCCGGGCTGCTGCTGTGAGCCAGCGCCTTTTCTAGCTTGGACGCTTTCTGTCCACATGCCGCGGCCTTCATGACAAGTCTTGCGAGCCTGGGAAGCCATTCTGTGTCTAGACAGTTGCTCACATCTGCTCTAAATATCACACATTGACTTAGTAGTTTAAAGTTTCAGAAAGCAGCCTTATTTTCAGGTTCCTTGGGTAAAGTAGGAAGGAAAGGCAGAACTTCACTGTTGTCCCGGGAAAATTTAGAAACATCTCTTTATGGCCAGGCACGGTGGCTCACGCCTGTAATCCCAGCACTTTGGAAGGCTGAGGTGGGCGGATCACCTGAGGTCAGGAGTTCAAGACCAGCCTGGCCAACATGGTAAAACCCCATCTCTACTAAAAATACAAAAATTAGCTAGGCATGGTGGTGGGCACCTGTAGTCCCAGCTACTCGGGAAACTGATGCAGGTGAATCACTTGAGCCCGCGAGGCGGAGGTTGCAGTGAGCCAAGATCTTGCCATTGCACTCCAGCCTAGGTGACACAGCAAGGCTCTGTCTCAAACAAAAAAAAAAAAAAAAAGAAAAAAAAGAAAAAAAAAAAGAAAGTCTCTTTATTAAGAGAAAACTTGGACTAAAAATATGTCTGAAAGACAGATGTTGTTGTTGAAGCTGGGTAATGGTGCATGGGGGTTTATAAAACGTGTCACTGCTTTGTATACTGAAAATTCTTCTAATGAATTTTTTTTTTCCTTTTTTTAAAGATGGAGTTTCACTCTTGTTGCCCAGGCTGGAGTGCAATGGTGCAATCTCGGCTCACTGCAACCTCCGCCGCCCAGGTTCAAGCGATTCTCCTGCCTCAGCCTCCTGAGTAGCTGGGATTATAGGCATGCGCCACCATGCCCACTAATTTTGTACTTTTAGGAGAGACGTGGTTTTTCCATG